AAAAGGAGAGACAGAGCGAGAGTATCCTCCTGAAATTGGCTTCTAGTCACATCTCATTTGCCTATTAAATTGTTCACCGTGAAATTTCACCTATCTTCATCTGATTTTTGGCCTCGACATAATATTGGCCTCGCTGCCTTGAAATGCTAGAAATGAAGTAAATATTTATAATCTACCAGTAACTATTGTTATTATACTTGCCTGTTATTATAATATTATGACTTCATATAATTAGTAGTATTGGCTATAACATTGGCTATATTTTGGCTATAATTGGTAGATAGATTAATATTGGCTCTAATTTGCATTGTTATTATACTAATATCACTGGCTATAATCGATAGTACTGGCTATAATACCCGAGATGAGAAATAATTATGAGAAATGGTAAACGACATATAAATGCATCTTAAGACTAATTAAAGTTGGAGGTTATTTACTACTTCAATTCCCTACCCGTCTTCCTATCCCTAACCCTCTCCTTCCTATCCCTAACCTCCTCCAAAATATATATACCCAAAAATACCTTTCCATAGTATATAATTTTGACAGGCTTAAAATAAAAATATATATATATATTCATATCACTAAAACAAATATCTATATATTTTTTTTTAAACTGAGGAAAAAAAAAGATGAATGTATAATATATTTATTTATCAAATTGTTTTATTATTTATTATATTTTTTATTTTATTTATTTTTATTTTTCCATAAACCATCAATGATTTTTTTTTCTTTTTATATTTACCCAAAAAGATAATATTGCTACTGATTTTGTTCATGGGAGTGTCTGTTATCTCCCAGCCCCCAGTACCGTGTATCTCCCCAGCCCCCAGTACCGTGTTATCTCCCAGCCCCAGCGTCGTTATCTCCCAGTACCGTGTTATCTCCCAACTCCTCAGTACTGTTATCTCCCCAGCCCCACAGTACGTGTTATCTCCCCAGCCCCAGTAATGTTATTATTCCCAGCTCCCCAGTACCGTGTTATCTCCCCAGTACCGTGTTATCTCCAGCCCCCAGTACTGTTATCTCCCCAGCCCCAGTACCGTGTTATCTCCCAGCCCCAGTACTGCAAGATCTCCCAGCTCCCCAGTACTGTGTTATCTCCCAGCCACCCCAGTACCGTGTTATTCCCCAGCCACCCCAGTACTGTTATTCCAGCCACCCCAGTACTGTGTTATCTCCCCAGCCCCAGTACTGTGTTATTCCCAGCTCCCCAGTACCGTGTTATCTCCCCAGCCCCAGTACTGCTATTCCCCAGCCCCCTAGTACCGTCCCCAGCCCCAGTACCGTGTGTTATCTCCCCAGCCCCAGTACCGTGTTAATATTCCCCAGCCCCCAGTACCGTGTTATCTCCCCAGCCCCCAGTACGTGTTATCTCCCCCAGCCCCCAGTACCGTGTTATCTCCCCAGCCCCCAGTACCGTGTTATCTCCCAGCCCCCAGTACCGTCATAGCTCCCCAGCTCCCCAGCACCGTGTTATCTCCAGCCCCCAGCACAAGTTATCTCCCCAGCCCACAGTACTGTTATCTCCCAGCACCGCAGAGTCTCCCAGCCCCCAGTACTGTTATTCCCAGCCCCCAGTACTGTTAATCCTCACCTCAGTACGTGTGTTACTCCCAGCCCCAGTACCGTAAGTTACTCCCAGCCCCAGTACTGTCTCCCCAGCCTCCCAGCACTGCCATTCCCCAGCCTCAGTACTGCAAGTCTCTCGGCTCTCAGTACACTGTTGGTCTCCCCAGCCCCAGCACCGTGTTATTCCCCAGCCCCCAGCACTCGTGTTATCTCCCAGCCCCCAGTACCGTGTTATCTCCCAGCCCCAGTACCGTGTTATTCCAGCCTCAGTACCTCCAGCCCCTGCACCGTGTTATTCTCTCTCAGTGTTATCTCCCCCCAGTACTGTTATTCTGCCCCCAGTACTGTGTTATCTCCCCAGCACAGTGTGTTATCTCCCCAGCTCGGACATACTGGGGAGGAGAGGCTAGCTGGGTGCCTGCCTGGGCCAAGTTATAGTCTCCGTAATTAGTGTTATTGACAAACCAACTCTGTCTGTGGCGGCCAGTCTGTGAGCAGGACGACCTCGCCTCACACACACCTCAACTAACTGTTAACTGTCTGTGGTGGGTCTCAAATCTGTTAGCTGTCTGTGTGGGTTTCATGTGTCTGTTAGCTGTCTGTAGGGCGTCAGTAAGTTTGGCAGATGTCAATTTATGCCACAGTCTGGAGTGCCACAGGCTGGGAGTGCCACAGTAAGGCTGGGAGTGCCACAGGCTGGGAGTGCCAGGCATGGAGTGCCAATAAGGCTGGGAGTGCCACAGGCAGGGAGTGCCACAGGTTAGGAGTGCCACAATAAGGCTAGGAGTGCCACAAGGCTGGGAGTGCACAGGCTGGGAGAGCACAATAAGGCTGGGAGTGCCACAATATGCTAGGAGTGCCACAGTAAGGCTGGGAGTGCCACACACAGAGTGCCACAATAAGGCTAGAGTGCAAGGCTGAGTTCACACATTAGGAAAGTGCCAATAAGGCTAGGAGTGCCATAATACTAGGAGTGCCACAAGGCTGGGAATGCCACAGTAAGGCTGGGAGTGCCACAGGAAGGCTGGGAGTGCCACAATACTAGGAGGCCACAGGTTGGAGTGCCACAATGCTGGTAGTGCTGCTGACCTGACCACCAATGTCCCAATCTAATTGTCTTTACGCAATAGTGTTGTGTGTTGTTGTCTGAACTTTCCACCCCGCTGCCTACGCGTGTGTCAACGCTACATACATGCTACACATGCTTACATTACATGCCATACATACATACATACCATGCTATTGCCATAACAACCAGTAGCAATGGTTGCCCTCGTGTTTGAATGATGGCTGGCCTTAGAGCCACTTAGGCGTGAATTTGTATAAGGTGTAGAAGCTGTCGCCAACACAACAACCACACCTGAGTTAAAGTGTTGTATGACCCGGTGTAAAGGAGTAGCCCAGGATCCCGGACAACTGGTCAACTGCACTGGCTAGCCATTCATCCAGGTCCCAGGTGATAACATATGATAACTAGTGATAACTTATTATAACTGGTGATAACTTATGATAACTGGTGATGACTGGTGATAACTTATGATAACTGGTGGTAACTTATGATAACTGGTGGTAACTTATGATAACTGGTGATAACTTATGATAACTGGTGATAACTGGAGATAATTGATAACTGGTGATAATTTATGATAACTGGTGATAACTTATGATAACTGGTGATAACTTATGATAACTGGTGATAACTTATGATAACCGGTGAAAACTTATGATAACTGGTGATAATTGGTAATAACTTATTATAACTGGTGATAACTTATGATAACTGGTGATAACTGGTGATAACTTATGATAACTGGTGATAACTTATGATAACCTGAGGATAATATGATAACTGGTGATAATTTATGATAACTTATAATCACATGTAACTGGTGATAACTGGTGATAACTTAAATAAGATAACTTATGATAACTGGTGATATTGTAAACTTATTATATAACTGGGAGATAACTATGATAACTGGTGATAACTTATGATAACTGATAGACTTGTGATAATAGTATAACTGAGATACTTATTATAACTGGTGATAATTGTAACTTATGATAACTGGTGATAACTTATGATAACTGGTGATAACTGAGATAACTGGTATAACTTATGATAACTGGTGATAATTGGTATGATAACTGGTACTGGGTAATAACTTATGATAACTGGGATAACTTATGATAACTGGTGATAACTTATGATAACTGGTGATAACTTATAACCGGTGAATTGAGATAATTGATAACTGGTGATAACTTATTATAACTGGTGATAACTGCTGATAACTGGTGATAACTTGTTATAACTGGTGATAACTATGATAACATGATAACTGGTGATACTTTTTATAACTTGATATAACTGTAATTGATAACGATGAGACTCAGATAATTTAAAGATAACCGGTGATAACTGATTGATAACTGGTGATAACTGGAAGTAATGATAACTGAGATAACTGGAGATAATTGATAACTGGTGATAACTTATGAGTTAACCATATAACTTTATAACTGGTGATAACTATGATAACTGGAGATAATGATGATAACTTGATACAACTTGATAACTTATGAATCAAGAACTTTGGAGAATGATAACTGATGAGTTGAATTGGTTTAACTTATGATAACTGGTGATAACTGGTCATGGCTGCCAAGAATTTATAAATGAACCGAATTTCAAAGGCGTAGAAGCCCAATATGTGTGTGTGTGTGTGTGTGTGTGTGTGTGTGTGTGTGTGTGTGTGTGTGTGTGTGTGTGTGTACCAATCATAGTAGGGAGAGTGAAGTAGAAGGAAGGTAAGGGGGAGAGGGGAAGGGGAAGGGAGGGGAAAGGGAGGGAGAGAAAGGAGGGGTGGGGGAGGAGGAAGAGAGGTACGGAGGGAGCTGTGGGGTAAAAGGGGAGGGGGGAGATGAAGCAAGTTGGTTAGGGAAGGAAATAGGGAGGTAAGGCTGTAACTTCCCCACCATACTCGTCTTCTATCTCCATTGTTCTAGTCATTTTCTCCCATCTTACCATCCTTACCATTTCTCCCCACAATCCATTATTCTCCCATTTCTCCATCATCGCATCCCCATTTCCACTCATTCACCCCATCCCATTACCTTCTCAATTACCTCCTAATATCACCCTCCCATCTCCCATTAACTCCTCCCATTATCACTCCATCCTACCCATTATCCTCCTACTGCCCTCCCACCTCTCCCATTATTTCTCCCCATCTCACCATCATCGTCACATGATCCATTGTTTTCCTCCTACTACGCCTTTTTTATTCTTCTTCTCTCTCTTCTTTCTCCTCCTTCTTCACCTTCTCCTTCCGTACGCCTTTCTATCTTTTTTCCAATTTCTCTCTCTGTACTTCCACCTTCGCCAAAAATACCAAACGGAATGAGAAACACAATGATAATTATCCCCACACGATCCCAACTGCGGTACTGGAGGACTGACCAGATCCCAACTGGTAACTGAGGACTGACCAGACCCCAACTGCAGTAACTGAGAACTGACCAGACCCCAACTGTGGTAACTGAGGACTGACCAGATCCCAACTGCGGTTCGAGGACGACCAGACCCCAACTGCGGTAACTGAGGGCTGACCAGACCCCAACTGCGGTAACTGAGGGCTGACCAGATCCAACTGCGTGTAACTAGGACTGACCAGATCCCAACTGCGGTAACTGAGGACTGACCAGACCAACTGCGGTAACTGAGGCTGAAGATCCCACCAGGTAACTGAGGACCGACCAGATCCACCGGTAACTGAGACTGACCAGACCAACTGCAACTGAGGACTGACCAGACCCCAACTGTGGTAATGAGACTGACCAGATCCCAACTGCGGTAACTGAGACTGACCAGACCCCAACCGGGTAACTGGAGGACTGACCAGATCCCAATGTGGTAACTGAGGACTGACCAGACCCCAACTGTGGTAACTGAGGACTGACCAGACCCCAATCGGTAACTGAGGACGACCAGACCCCAACTGTGGTAACTGAGGACTGACCAGACCCCAACTGGGTAACTGAGGACTGACCAAACAGAGGAGTGAATTACACCAAATGACACACGAGGGAGGAGAGGACTGGCTGTGTAACTCTAGAAGTGAGGGAATTAGTGGTAGTTCACACACACACACACACACACACACACACACACACACACACACACACACACACACACACACACACACACACACACACACACACACACACAGTATATATATATTTAGACCTTGATATCTTTACTGACTTCCTGTGTGTGTGTGATTTATTTTATTTATATGAATTACCTGCAAATTCCTACACAACCCCTTCTGCCTCTTCTCTGTCTCTCATAACTTCCAACGAGCAACAATGGCAGTGAAGAAAGCCTGGCCTCCAGAGAGGGGAAGTGTGAGGTCCGAGGAGGAGGTATAACGAGTTTGTGCTGAGGTATGAGGGAGAGTAGGGAGAGGGTGCGAGGGGAGAGAGGGAGAGTGGTGTGAGGGGAGAGAAAGGGGGGAAAGAGGAGAGAGAGGGGAGAAAGGGTGGGGAAAGGGAGAGAGAGGGGAAGAAGGTGGGGAAAGAGGAGAGTAGGGGAGGGGGGAGGTGAGGAGAGGGTGGAGATAGAGTAAGGGGAGATTGGGGAGAGTGTGGAGGAATAGGAAGGAGAAAGATAAGTGGGGAGGAGAGGGGAGGGAGGGAGAGGGAGGGGAGGAGGGAGAGGAGGAGGAGAGGGAGGAGGGAGGGAGAGGGAGAGGGAGAGAGGGGAGAGGGAGGAGGGGAGAGAGGGAGGGGAGGGAGAGGGAGGGAGGGAGAGGGAGGGGGAGAGGGAGGAGGGGAGGGAGAATAGGAAGAACGAAGAGATGAGGGAGGAGGGTGAGGTGAAGTGTAGTGAAGGAATAATTGTAAAAAATAGGGGATGAAGGAGGAAGAGGGAGGAGGAGGAGGAGGAGGAGGGGAGGAGGAGGAGGAGGAGGGAGGAGAGGAGGGAGGAGGAGGAGGAGGACGAGGAGGAGGAGGAGGAGGGAGGAGGAGGAGGAGGAGGAGGAGGAGGAGGAGGGAGGAGGGAGGAGGAGGGAGAGGAGGAGGAGGGAGGAGGAGGAGGAGGAGGAGGAGGAGGAGGAAGAAGAGAATATGTGAAGTTTAAAGACCCAACAAACTGTAGAGAGAGAGAGAGAGAGAGAGAGAAAGAATACACAGGAAATGAAGAAAAAATTGGGGGAAGAGGGGAGAATGAGAGAATAACAAGTACCAATGATAATACCACAGGAAGGGACGTAAGAGGAAGGGAAATTTCTAGTAGTGGGGCAAACAAGAGGGTATTATGTTGGGGAGAAAGTACAGGCGAGGGAAGTGCAGGAGGGATGTTTGTGGTGTGAGGGGAGAGGGGAGAGGGGAGAGTGGGGAGTGAGGGAGGAGAGAGAGAGAGGGGAGAGTAGGGGTGACAGTGAGGGGAGAGAGGGGAGAGGGGGGAGAGGGGGTAGAGTGAGGGAGAGAGAGAGAGAGAGGGAGAGTAAGGGTGACAGTGAGGAGAGAGAGGGAGAGGGGGAGAGAGGAGTAAGGGTGACAGTGAGGGAGGGGTGAGGGAGAGTGGGGGGAGAGGGAGAGTAAGGTGACAGTGAGGGGAGAGGAGGGAGAGTGGGGGGAGAGAGGGGAGAGTAAGGGTGACAGGAGGAGAGAGAGGAGAGTGGGGGGGGAGAGAGGGAGAGTAAGGTGATGTGAGGGAGAGAGAGGGAGAGTGGGGGAGAGAGAGGGAGAGTGGGGAGAGAGGGAGAGTAAGGGTGACAGTGAGGAGAGGAGGGAGAGTGGGGGAGAGAGGGAGAGTAAGGGTGACAGTGAGGGGAGAGGAGGGAGGGGGGAGAGGAGAGTGGGGGGAGAGGGAGAGTGGGGGAGAGGGAGAGGGGGGGAGAGAGAGAGGGAGAGTAAGGGGTGAGCAGGAGGGAGAGAGGGGAGAGTGGGGAGAGAGGGGAGAGGGGAGAGAGAGGGAGAGGGGAGGAGGAGACAGTAAATGAAAATTAGGTGAGAATGAAAAGAGAGAAAGAGAGAGAGAGAGAGAGAGAGAGAGGAGAGAGAGAGAGAGAGAGAGAGAGGAGAGAGAGAGAGAAGAGAGAGAGAGAGAGAGAGAGAGAGAGTCCGTGATAATGGGGAGGTGGCGTCATTTTAAAGACCTGGGGAACTGGGATTTAAGGCGTAAGGGGGAAGGAGGGAAGTCAGGAGGGGTGAGGGAGAGCCAGGCGTGGGGTGAGGAGAGCAGGCGGGGGTGAGGGAGAGCCAGGTGGGGTGAGGGGAGAGCCAGGGGGGGGGTGAGGGGAGAAGGAGGGGGGTGAAGGAAGAGCCATTGGGAGGGGGGAGAGGAGGGGTGAAAGGAAGGAATGTAGAGGAGAGAAGAGGGAGAGAAGGGGAAGGAGGGCAGGGGAAAAGAGAATTATGGGGAAGATAGAGAGAAGACATCCCTGGAAAGGAGATGAAGGAGGGGAAGGGAGGAGGGTAGGGGTGGGTACCCTGTAGGTGAGGGTAAGGGAGGAAGTGAAGGGTAGGGGGAGGGAAGGAGGGTAGGGAGGGGAAAGTGGGAGGGGGGAGGGAAGTGGAGGGTAGGGGAGAGGGATGTGGTGGGGGATGATGGAGGCAAGGTAGGGGAGGGAAGTGGAGGGTAGATAGATGTGGAGGGTAGGGGAGGTAGGGAGGGAAGTGGAGGGTAGGTGGCCTGGGAAGATGGCTCAAAAACTTTGGCCCGGGGAGAGTAAGGGAGGGTGGGGGGAGGACTGAGGGGTGTTCTGGGAAGACAGCCTCAGAGGAGCACGCGCGCCGGGGAGGGGAGAGAGGGGGAGAGGAGGGGGAGAGGAGGGAAGAAGAGAGTGGATAATGAGGGAGGCACGCGTAGAGGGATGATGATGACTAGAGAAGGTAGTAAGGGTTGAGACGATTCACCAAAGCTTGGGTGAGGAGGGGAGGTGAGGGGAGATGGTGGCGAGATGGTTGGGGAGGGGGGGGAAATGGAGGTGAGTGGAGGAAGTGTAAGGGGAGGTGAGAAAAGGAGAGAGAAGGTGCAGAAGAGAGGAGAAAGGACGATAAAGATGGGAGGTGGAGGTGAGGGAGGGGGGGGAAAAGGAGGAAGAGGAAGACTACGAGGAGGTGGAAGAGGAAGAGGAGGCGGAAGGAGGAGAAAGAGGGAAAAGGGGAGAAAGCGGGAAGAAGAAGATAGTCAAGAAGGGGACGAAGTTTAAACAAACAACAAAAACAGACATACACACAGACAAAGGAACGGACAAACTGACACAAAGATGGCGACCAAATATGACAGAGACTATAGCAGAGAGGGAAGGTATTGCCTCTGACAAACGCTTTGACAACGCCCACCGGAAACAGGGAACGAAAGGAGACATTATTGAAACTATACAATTTTTTTCCCTTCACAGGAGGCTGTGAGGAGGGAGGGGGTGAAGGGTGAATATTGTTAATGGGGCGGACGTAGGAAGGAGACGGGAAGAGAGAGGGAAGGAGGGGTAAGGGTGGGGAGGCCAGAGAGGTGAAGGAGAGAAAGATGGATGGGTGGAGGATGAGGAGGGAGGGAGGAGGAGGGAGAGAGCCAGTTGAAGGAGGGGGAGGGAGATAGAGGAGGATGAAATAGAGGAGGGAGGGAAGAGAAGGAAGAGAGGAGGAGCAAAGGGAGGAGGGAGGGAAGGAGGAAGGAAGAGAGGAGGAGCAAAGGGAGGAGGAGGGAAGGAGGAAGGAAGAGAGGGAGGAGCAAAGGAAGAAGGGAGGAAAGGGAGATAGGAGGTAAAAAAAAAGAATAATGGAGGGAAAGAAGAGGATAAAACGAGAGAGAGAGAGAGAGAGAGAAGGGGGCGGGGAGGAATATTAATGGGGAGAAGAGGTAAATGGCAGGGGAAAGATGGCAATAAAACGGTCGAAAAGAAAGCCAAGACGGAGAGAAAGAGCGAATGATGGAAGGGATGACGCAGGGGTGATAGATGGGAAGAAAGGGTGAAAAGGGGAATAAAGATATAATGGGTGACAAGTGAAATGCTGTAATGGGTGACAGGTGAAATGGGTCCAAGTTGTACAGAGTAACAGTAAATTGGGCTTCAGTTCTAATGGATGTGAGGTGATCCTAATAGATGAGAGGTGAAATGGGCCCCAAATATAAGGGTCTAAATCAATGGGTCCTACTCCTTCTAATGGGCATCCAACCTTCTTAACGACAAAACAAACACTCCATTAACTACCTCAAACAACCCAACTACTTGTACTTCAACTACACCAGGAAAAAAAACCCTCATCACATCTAATACTCCGTGAAGTGACCCACACGTTAAGTTTAATTGGGTGATTAAGGGTTAATTAGTATATGAACCACCACTGTTGACTACCGCTCAGTATATAGTGGTAATTGACCCATCAGAAATGACTAGACTTCCCTATTCACGTTTGGGTTTACAACGGGAAGAGGAGAGGTATTTTGTTTAGTTTACTTTCGGAACTTCACAAACTAGACGTAAACAAAATTAAACAGCAAACACAATCATCACTACACGCAGATCACTCGCGACAGCCTGACATACACAATAACAATAACGTCACGGATTTACACCTGCAGCCATTAATAGTTGTTCACCAATAGTAATGTTGTTTAGGTGTCAAAGTTCTTATATAAATTACACAATGTATTAACCTAAATGAAATAAACAGAAATTAATAAACTCACCTTTCCTGGAGTCATTCCCACGATCATTCCAGTTAATGTGATGTTGTTTGGTCCTTGGGTAATATGCGATTTCAGCTCCTATGTCAATTCTCGCCTTAGTTTTCTCCCACACGGCTGTAATGTCACGACTCTTGTTACTAATAATGTGCTGAAACTTCCCCTTGACACACACCAGCACTTGCCGTACCTTCCATGTTTACATGTAGGGCAAGTCGAACACCTCCTATGTTGACTGTGACTTTGGCTTCCCATTCAGTCTATTACTTATTAATATGAAACCAAACACGCTCAACACATTTATACCAAATCACTGATACTTCTCACGGATAAAATCTATCTTTCTTATAATAATCAGTAGTAATCACCTGAGAAACATAAGTGTACTGTACATTTCGAAAAAACTATAAAACACGTGTTGAGAATGATCCATCAGTCGTACCAACCACCTGGGTATGGTCATGTTGGCAGCCCTGTTACAGAAAGACGCCCGAAGCAAACCCGAACTACAATTATTTCAGAAGCATTCAAGTCGTCGAAAATACCAACTGTTTCTTTAAGATTTTCCCAAACAAACTATTACTATTGGTTATAATGAAAGCAAAACTATATAACGCAAAATATGGGGATAGTAAAGTTCAACACGGTTTTATTCATCCCTTACACGCGGTAAACATCCATTAGTCAAGTCAAGAGGTGTGAGTCGGGGTGACGAATCAACCACACCAAAAATAAAGGTAAGAGTCTCAGTGCTGTTTTGCCGCCATTTTCTGAGGCCATAGCTCATAGAATACTTTTAAATACGAGCCTACATTCCCCACGAGATAAAAAAAATAATATTTCTCATACGAATTTTTGAGAATTTTTGGTGCTGTAGAAAGTCTTCTCTCAGTTAGTCAGTTAGGAAAGACAGGGATGAAACAGACTGAGAAAGTATCGTACCTTGAACTGCGTCGTGGTGCTGGATGTTAGTCGTACGTCAGGCAGGGCAGCTTCCCTCCTGCGGGGTCAGTGATGGCAGACACAGGTAGGGTCATTAACTAACTTACTGTGTTACGAGGCAGGGTCAGGCAAGGTCAGGTGTGTTATGTCCTTAATACACACGAGTCGGTCAGTGTGTGTGTGTGTGTGTGTGTGTGTGTGTGTGTGTGTGTGTGTGTGTGTGTGTGTGTGTGTGTGTGTGTGTGTGGGTGTGTGTGTGTGTGTGTATTAGCAACAGACCTCCAAAACAGCCTTAACCCTTCACAAAAACCCTAAATAACAACAAATAAGATAAATAAAACATGAGACCACACACACACACACACACACACAGTATGCATGTGTACATCAGCAATATATATTTAAATGTATCACGTGTGTGGTTAATCTATTCCTGTGGTCCGTCGTGCACAAGAGGGGGGGAGAGAGAGAGAGGGGAGAGAGAGAGAGAGAGAGAGAGAGAGAGAGAGAGATGATTTAGCTAATATTGGTCTGGTCGTTAGAGTTGCTCAGGTCCTCGGGAGACCTTAGCTGCGTTAGTTAGCTCTATGAACGCCTTCTGTGACTGACTGACTGGTTTACTGACTGATTAACTGAGGTATTCTTTTCCCACACCCACAGGCTCACTCACCTCACTCCATCTCCCAGGCCCACAATCTGCCGCCATCCTCACTAACGCAGCTTATGATAAATTCTTTCGTCATCGTTGTTAGATTCTGTAATTGTAATGGGAAGAATATGTAGGGGGTTGCGGACCCTCCACTTCCTCCCCTGCCTCCACTCTCCTGCCCTCCCACTCTCCCTGCCCCTCCACTCCTCCTGCTCCTCCCTGCCTCCACCTCCCCCTGCCTCCACTCTCCTGCCTCCACTTCTGCCTCCACCTCCTCCTGCCTCCACCTCCTGCCCCCACCTCCTGCCTCCCTCTGCCCCTCCACCTCCTGCCCCTCCACCTCCCTCCCCTCCCCCTGCCCTCCACTTCCCTCCCCTGCCCCTCCACCCTCCCCTGCCCTCCACTTCCTCCTGCCTCCACTCCTCCTGCCTCCACCTCCCTGCCTCCACTCCCTGCCTCCCCTCCTGCCCTCCACTTCCCCCTCCCCTCCTGCCTCCCTCTGCCTCCACTTCTCCTGCCTCCACCTCCTGCCCTCCCCTCCACTTCTCCTGCCTCCACTCTCCTGCCTCCACTTCTGCCCTCCACCTCCCTGCCTCCCCTCCCCTTCCCTGCCCCTCCACTCCTCCCTGCCCCCACTCTGCCCATCCTCACGTCTCGACCTGAGCAGAAACATCTTGAGAGGATCTATGGTAAATACTCTTTTCTATTATCCGTCTTCTTCTTCTGTTTTTTTCTCTTCTGTCTTCTGTCTTTCTTTCTCGTCGTCGTCGTCATCGCGGATATAAGGTGATGTCTACTTGTCTCCAATCCGAACATCATCCTAAACCAACCTTCTGATTAACGCCTCAATCCTAAATGCATCCTAATCCTAACGGCCCTAATCCTACAGATCAAGTTTGAGTTTGATTAGATTCTATTGGGGCCCAAAAATTAAACTGGGGTCTACTAGGACTGGTGGGGCCCGCGTGGTAGGGTCTTTCATATTAGAGAACATTACTCGGCCGCTGTTCGTCTTGTGGCCAGGCAGCGTCTCTTTAAAACACTCCCTGGTGACTACTGTACAACGGAGGTGTGTGTGTGTGTGTGTGTGTGTGTGTGTGTGTGTGGTGTGAAGGGTGGGAGGTTGGGAGAGGAGGGATGAGATGGAAGAGGGGGGAGGTGAGGAAGCTTTGACACGCATGATTTAGTATTTTCAGAGTTTCTATTACGCACCTGAACGACTATCAGAGTTTCTGAGCTTGTTGTTTTAGTACTGCAGCTGCCTTGGGTCAACATGTCGACCTCTCCCACCTCCTCCCCATTACTCCTCCTCCCATAACCCCCTCAACTCCTCCCATAATCCACAACCTCCTATTACTCCTCCCTCAACTCCCCTCCCCATAACTCCCCCACAACCCTCCTCAACTCCCTCCCCATAATCCCCACAACCCTCCCCAACCTCCCCACACCCTCCTCCCCCAACTCCCTCCCCATATAATCCCCCCACAACCCTCCCCTCAACTCCCCTCCTCAACCCCCTCCCCACACCGCCAAATCACCCACAAACACACACAAACGGAATTTCAACCCCTGAGCCCTTGGTTGTCAACGCTGGGGAATAATCAATCTGTCTGCCTGTCTGTCTGTCTGTCACCAATGATCACTTCGCAGATTCAACGCGTCAATTAGGGTGTGAATATTCTTAGCATACGGCGTTGACCTGCATACTGACGTGTTACGCCGGAGAGAGAGAGAGAGAGAGAGAGAGAGAGAGAGAGAGAGAGAGGAGAGAGAGAGAGGAGAGAGAGAGAGAGAGAGAGAGAGAGAGAGAGAGACTCATTCGTGTTGTGGTAATACTGGTTATATTTTGGAAGGGAAGGGACCTTGTTGATCTGGTGAGGGAGGGCTGACGGCCTCTCTCCCTCCCTCCCTGTGTATTGCAGTGTGGAGGTGATGGAGGGGTGGAGGAAGGCCTGGAGGAGGGAGGCTAAAGAGGAGAGGAAAAGAAGGGGAGAAGAAGGAAAGGATGGGAGGAAACAGGGAAGGAAGGTGAGAGAAGGAGAAAGACGGGAAAGATAGAATGAAGGGGTTGGAGAAAGCCAGGGAGAAAAGGAGGGAAGGAGAGGAAGAGAAAGAAGAAGGGAGGAAGAAAATGGTAAGGAAGAAGTGAGTAGGGAATAGCCAGGGAGGAAGAGACGGAGAGAGGGGAGGGAAGGAGGGGTGAAGAAGGGAAGGATGGAAGGAAAAAGAGAGGGAGGTAGGGACGGAGGGAAGAAGGGAGGAACTAGTACCATTAAACTAACCACAAAAACCCAGCCATTAGGGAGAGGAAGTCGAGTTGTGTTAATAAGAGAGCACCAGCTGTGTGTGTGTGTGTGTGTGTGTGTGTGTGTGTGTGTGTGTGTGTGTGTGTGTGTGTGTGTGTGTGTGTGTGTGTGTGTGTGTGTGTGTGTGTGTGTGTGTGTGTGTGTGTGTTGTGTGTGTGTGTGTGTTAGTGTGTGTTGTGTGTGTGTGTGTGTGTGTGTGTGTGTGTGTGTGTGTGTTATGTGTGTGTGTAGTGTGTGTGTGTGTGTGTGTTAGTGTGTGTGTGTGTGTGTGTATGTTAGTGTGTGTTATTATTATTGGGTCATTATTACCTTATTGTTTACCATTGTTGTTTACCTGTACTGTCACGGCAAACAAACAACTGTATACTCCCACGGCCTACCTGCATTATTTATATCCAAGCTGCACTGTAGATCTACCTGTATGGTCATTTTACCTGAACCAATTTTTTACATTACTGCATCTATCAAAACAAACTCTGTCATCACTATACGGGGAAGCTACTGAACAGGGGGCGCGTGTCAGCTCGATACTGGCGCGTGGCTGATAAGATTAGTATACCAACACAAAGAGACGTACAGTAGTCACCCCTCCTCACCTCTTACCCTCGGGGCATAGGTGGAGGGGGAGGGGGTGGAGGGGTGGAGAGGAGGAGGGGTGGAGAGGAGGAGGAGGAGGAGGAGAAGGGAGAGAGAGAGAGAGGGGGTGGTGAATTTAAGCTTGGGTGGTCCTGAGGGGGATGGCAGAAAAAAGGGACCGCAGCTACTACACCTGTTGTCTCACTTACCTGTTGTGTTAGAGAGAGAGAGAGAGAGAGAGAGAGAGAGAGAGACACGCCCTGAACCTTGCACACAAGAATCAGCCATAACTCAAACACACGATATCTCCCCGAACTACCAAAGAGTCGCCAATCTCACTAATTATCGGGCTACGGGTATTCAGATCTTACCCTCAATACTCTAGTAAGAATAAATAATCGGATTATACACTATTATCGAGATTATAGGAGGTCTCGGGGGGTACCAATGTGATTCTCAACTTTCAATGGTTCAATGGTGTTCAGACGAGATGCCTTAGGGGGATGGGGTAGAGATTGGGGTAGAGATTGGGGTAGGGGTAAAAGGTAGAGATTGGGGTAGGGTAAGGTAGGGTGGGGCAGGGTAAGGTAGGGTGGGGTAGGGTAAGGTAAGGTGGGAGATGGGGTAGGGTGGAGTGGGGGGAT